AAAATCATCAGGAAATCCGCGGATTTAGACAAATTATAAAAGACTTTTATCCTCATTCTGGTGCGTGCTAATTCAAAAAAAAAAAAATGAATAACAGTCTAATGAAAAATTAACACGACGTAAAACTAGATGAATCTGTAAAACAATCTGATACAATATACTACTGGTAAGAATTTTTTTGAAAACATACACCTAGAAACACAAATAAAGTCTTTCACTTCACTTCACAGAAGTAGTCCATGTTCCCAAGAATTATTCTTGCAGAGCTAGATGAGAAGTTCGAGTTCCTCAGAGAAACGATAATACAGAATATCAGTAGCTTTATGTGGAAGATTTTTCTGTGAAACCTAACATGAAACATTCATTAACTGTAAAGACAATGTACATACCTCCACCAATGAGCAATGATCTTAAAACAAACCTGATAAGTTAAAGCAGCAGAGCTCGAGGTGGTACCTGTACTTGTATGTCTTCTGGATCATATGTGGTCTGTAATCACAATTATTTTTTCCAAGGTATTCCATTGCAGCATCTCTTTGTTTTTTTGAAGCCACTGATTTATATCAATACTTTAAAACTATAAAAATCGTATTTACGTTGCCCGCTGGCCTGCCAAATAAATTTATTTTTCCGTCTCGGTGTATTTGACTGTCTGTCTGTAATGATATTCTTAACGTGTTGTTATTAAAAACAATAAGATTTTGTCCTTCGTAAGTCAGTTAATTTCATTCACTGGGCTAAGTACAACTTTGCAGCGTTTTCATAAAAAGAAGTAAAACCTAAAACAATTGCTTTCAGTTTCAGTGAAAGGCCACTCGCCCTTCATCGAGACTGCTAACAGATTCATGGAGCAAATATGTTAATTTTTCATTGAACTTTCTCAAGTATTGTTGACAGATTTGTCTGTTATCAGCAAAATATCAATAATGTGATTAATTACCAGTTTTTGATCATTTACACTATCTGTAAAGGCGATTTAAAAATATTGACGAAGTCAACATATTCAAAATTCCGGCCACGTTTCCCCACCAGAGCAAACAAATGTAGGCTGTCACACGCAACCAATTTAAATTGAATTCAAAGTCGAATAAAAGAACAACGACATAATAACTTCAAATTTAAACTGCACGTTAGCTGGGTTTTAAACTTAATACACTTATTAAGTAACAACTCTAAAGGCGACCAGTACATTTGAGAATAATGTATATCAATGTTTCCGTGAACAGTTAGCAGTCTTAGCATGTCAGTTTCAACAATCCAGTTCCACTTTCCCGCTGGAAAATTGCACTTTGTGGGACCATGCCAGCAAGGCAAATTTATTTCAAGTCACGTTCATTCGCTTAGTACATAAAAAAGAGCCCTGCAGGAAGCTCTTGAAAATCCCGCTAGATTGGTTGACTCGAATTAATTTATGCTGCGCAGTGGTCCATATAAACTTAAGGCGACAGGTGTTATATCAAGCTCTGCTTTTGAAGTGCCTCCAACTATTCAGAAATTCGAGATAGCTCTGTAAATTGAATTTGGTTACCGAAACAGAAACTCTTGATGTGTCAAAATTTGTATTTTTCAGATAATGCACTGCTCTAATAACCTTATGTTGTAGTCCAGTTAATGCGTGAATGATCATTCTTGCCAGTTTTGCTGGGGACGATCATATTCTTTTGAATAACACATAATAACAACTTCAAAACGTTTTCTTTCTTAATGTTAAATTAAATCATTTTTTGTAGAGTCTGATGAGTTTTTATAAATGATTTCGTATACACTTATACCGAAGTAAGGCCTTTTGATATGTTCTAGTTCAGATTCAATGCCGTTGATCCAATTTCGATGCTTTCTCTGCCCCGAAGAGGCAGGGACTTTAAGATTCAGGACACGACGGCTTTTAGAACGCAGTGACCGATCAAAGACTGGAACTAGAACGCCGTTGTTAGCAAAGGAAAAATAACATTAAGTTTTGCCACGCGATGCGCACAACGCCATCGCTGCGGTATTACAAGAAAAAAAATTGTAAAACCCAAAAATAGGGGCGATTTTCCGGGTGGAAAAGGAGGATTTTTCTTAACTTGAAGACCCTCTGACTTGAAATGTTTGTGTACTCTAAGTGGTCACAAACTTTCATTTATTTGCATTTATCAACGCTTATTATTCTTTGCTCGATGTTTGATGTTTTCTTGCTTTTATTACTTCCCCTCGTGCAACTTTCCTTTGGTGTGTAAGCTCTCAACACAGGGTAAGTCTGGTCGCTTGTCCTGAAACATAACCGACAAAAATACAGTGTAAGAATAGGATCGTATCACAGGTTTGCGGCGCCTTCGCGAGACAAGTGAGCTTCGGCGAAACATCGACAGGTGTTTTTTATCGGCTAATACACGGGTCAAATTTCGGTAACGATGTGTGTAAAAGACAACGAAACTGATCGCAACCAGTTGCATTCAGAATTATGAGATTTCATACATGTTATAAGCGATAAACTTTAATACTTGATATCGACGGTTGGGTCGTCGATGCCATATTTTTGATGCTTTAGACATCTATAAACAATGTCGGAAAAAAAAATCAGAATCTTGAAATTTTTGCAATCTAAATCAGCCTCAAACTACCTACTTGATTGGAAGATATAAATCTTAAATGTTTAGGAGAATATAACAAGATTTTCTTTGACACAAGAATGATTAATTCTCCCGTTTTGTACACAACGCCAACATTCAAAAACTCACGTTCTCGACGCGACGTGACTCCAGTGGGACGACGGCTTAGGCATGCGCAGTGTGCATCTTGCTTGAAAATTTACTTCCGCCGGCATCATAGAGCCGTCGCGTCCTAAATGTCCCTATTATAGAAGGGAGGGCGCGCCGGAAGTGATGAAAGAAGGAAGAAGGAGCTTCGTTGTTTAAAGAGAGAAAGACAGAAATTAGATAAGTGCATAGACCAAACCTAGAAATGCGCGGTTCTATGGCTATCCTGTTGCATCCTACAGGATTCGAATGCATTTCCGCTAGTCTAAATAGTTTTAGTAGAATTCTAATTGAATACTAATGCAAATGCTACAATCTGATTGACTGAGTGATCGAACACTATCAGCCATAAGTATAATTTCAGAGTTGAACAAAGAGTATCCAGCAATCTGATTGGTTGAGCGATTCCTTATATGACGTTATATCACCGCTCCAGGCGGTGAGTATAACGGTGAATATAACCAATGTTCACCTCGCCTTCGGCGAATAATTGTTAATTACTGTGCAGTGGCTATGAAATGGCGACGTGTGCTTCGTTTTTCTAAAGTTTTGGAGGAACCTTTTGATGCAAATGGAAATTATATGCCTGAGAAGACTAAAAGAAGAACGTTTACGGACTCTTGACTTAAAAAAAAAATGGAAATTATTAAAAAAGGATGATGCTCGCAGACAAAACTGAAATTTCAGTAGAATTGATCTTTCTAAGGCGCGAAATTTAAAATAATACACCTAGAAATAATTGGAAACCCTCATCTATAGTAAATTTCAGTTAAATTCTACTAAAACAGATCATTCGCTCTCGATTTCAATGAGGTGGTGGTTGATGAGGCCGAAGGCTCATCATCACATAGAATTCTAGAGCTCAGTATAGTAATCTAACTGTTAAATAACATACTGCAGTGGTTATTTTCAAATACTTTTGCTTTTGCAGATTTTATCTCCCTACCATAATCGCGCACGCATTTTTTTTTATCCCAGTAGTTCTTTTTCCTGGATTAACGTTACCTCATTTTCTTGTCAATTGGCTGTATCACCCAGTTGCCATCGTTACGTCATCGTCTAGCAAAATATAACCCAAATAGCATGAATGAAAGCGGAAAATCCCTTGACAAAAAAGAGAGACAACAAAACACTGATAAATGAAGGGTCCGGACAAAGGACGGTGACGTCAAATGGTAGCCAATGATATCCAAAAACATTTATTAGGTATTTTACCCTGAGACATTAGATCTTTCAAGTAATGCAGGATTAGTCTTAACTGAACATCACAACCCTCAAAAGACGAAATTAACAATTGATAAACGCCTGCGTGTGGACGTGCGGAAAATGTCACTTTTTCTCGTGAAAAGACCCCGCACGTAGACAATTGTTATACTACATTTATTCAATTAATGATGCCGGGATTAAATTTTTAAATTCTAAGAAATATGCAGAAAACGTATGTCTTCTTTATCAACCCTTCCTTTCACAGCAAGCGTACCAGGGTGAAGGTAATTCTTGAAACATATTAACATGCAAATTTGAATCGTTTTCGATGCGTGACATCTCCTCCTCCCGCGCTGATTACCATTCTTCTTCTGTTTGAACATCTTTCAAACGACACAGATTGTCAATCTTTTCAGTCACTCTTACATTTCGTGGTGAATACTGGCTTTGAGCGGTCAGAAAGCTACACGAGTACATATGTAGAATAATTGTGGGTGGACGTAGCTTCCACTCTGATTAACTTTATCACGCTACATTACGGTACATGGTATCAACATATTGACTCAAGTGGGACCAGTCGACTGTATCGATCGTTAATCTGTCCATTGAAATTAACGAGTTGATGTGAATTACAAGCGAATGCAATGAAGGTTGGTGGAATTTAACTCTGTTTCCACATTAGTATTGTCATTCTCACTGTATCCTGCCGGAGTAGTTCCGAGGATGCTACATTGCAATCATGCAGTCCATTGATGGACTACTGACACATGTACATGTTGGTGTCACACATTTTCGACTGGCAAAGCATTTCTGGTGGTTTCTAAATCCCTTCAATTCTTTCAAAGATCCACTTGTGCCTTTGGAACTGCTCAAGGCTAATCAGTTCCATATCAACATCACTCGTTGTGAATGACGTAAAACTCATTGTTGTCATACATGTCTGTGTTATTTTAAAGATATTCGAGGTGAAATGTTCGATGAACAAGCAACAAATGGGTTTTTTTTGTTGGCACATGCCTTTTTATAATATTATTGCTCAATCCCAGATAGTTAGCGGTAATTTCTACTTATGGTCGCCTAGTTTCAAATTTAACCTCAGCCATGTGTGACTTGCGTGACTGTCTTTATGCAAACTGTTACCATAGTTACAGCAGGCAGAATCGTTTACTTTTTGTTTTGATTACCATAAACTTAAATTTCACAATTGAAAGTGAACTTAAACCTGAATTATGTCATTCAGTCATTTTCCTTTTCTACGATCGATTTAGCCGTACGATGATATCACTATTAAGCTCAGGGATAATGCAAGAAAAATTTAACAACGAGAAAAAAAATATTTTAGCTTATTTATCATTTACCTAACTTTGGAATTTGGAGGACTTTTAGGCACAACGTCTCTGTGCCATGAAAACGGGCCTTCACAGAAAAGCGATATCAGATGTTTTGGTAATGGAAGTATAAAACTGTGGAATTGTAGTAGTTGTGAAACAGACACACTGGCTTATCAGAGAGCCCTAAGCGGTAAAACTCCTAATCGTATCTATAACAAAATCCTCATCATGATTGGTTCTCTGCGCGCCTATTTGTCACGTAATCGGCGCGCGATCACGCGGGTGTCCAATTTGAACTTTTTGTTATTGGATACCTGTAATTGGATACCCATGTGATTCGCACGTCAATTACGCGCGCTTTAATGGCTTCCTTTGCAATGTTTCGTTCAGTTTTCAAAACTTAGGAAAAGCGCTACATGCGTTTTCGCTCAAAAGAAGCTCTCATAAGACATTTTTAACTCCGAAATTTGTTATAGATTCGATTAATTACTGATTGGACCTCGTGTCGTACAATTCAGGTACAATTCGTTTTCGTAATTTCAAATTACTCGCGCGATTACTCCCTGAATTGTACTCTACTCGGTCCAATTACTATAACTAATACCGGCAGTGGCAGTTTGTGTTACCAATTGCTGTAAAACGTAAGCCTACCTTGGTAAATAAAGTAAAAAAAATGCAAAAGCACAAACAAACAAACAAACAAACAAAAACACGCCCACACCAGAAACAGGGTCACGAGTTGTGCTGACCTACATGTAGCATATGATAACGGAGTCCAAGGCTTCCAAGTAATTTTACCATGATTCTCTCTTGAAGGCTAATTTAAAACAGCAACGTAAGACAGCCCGAGTGTTCTTTAGTTCGCCATTTGGTGGACTGGAAGAGGAGAGAGAAGAATTAACGAAGAAATACTGGCCTCAGTTGGTTTCTATGTGTAAAAGAGCCGGATACGAGTTTGTGCCTGTTGACATGAGATGGGGAATAACATCCGAGATGTCGTCTAATGCTGCTACAATCGAGATTTGCCTACGAGAAATGGATCGATCTGATATGATAGTGGGTTTCTTTGGACAGGTAAGATGGGCAAAATCGTATCGTTTATATAAGAGAAGAGATTGTAAAATATAATATTAAGAGTTAGTTTGTTACTGTTGTTATCCACTGATAAAACAATCTTTGTTAATCGCCACCAAATTAACAATGCACGGCTTGTACAGCCAGAAATACAAGAAGAAAGGTAGCCTGACGATTACAATTGACTAAAAACAATCGACCCCTGTTTTGATTGGCTCATTGCGTTGCATGCGGTTGTTGTCCTTTTATGAATTGTGGTTACTTTGGCCTTGGATGTACGGCTACAATATTCGTTTTGTTGTTTAGAGATATGGTTGGCATGGATTGGACAACCTTTTACAGAAAAGCTTTGATGTCGCAGCTGTGAAATATCCTTGGGTTAACGACTATCGTGAGAAAGCTGTGACTGAGTTAGAGTTCTTACAAGGCCATCTGAGAAACCCTGGAAAGAGAGCAGCTTGCTTCTTCTTTAGAGATAAGGTAAAAAAATATATATATTGGCATACTTCAAATTTGAAATTGTCCTTTCCATGAACTGTCGTTATTTGGTTTCGAGGAGTAGTTGGCGATGTCTTTCCAATCCAGACAACCCGAATCAAAATGGACACACGTGCAGGAGTCGTACTAAACCTGATCATTAATATTGTAGTCTTACGACGATATGAAATTGAAGTTAGCCGAAGAAGCTGAAGACGAAAGACAGGCACGGAAGTTCCGGTCATCAACCGATGGCCCTAAGGCTGCCAAGTACTTAGAGGACTTGAAACGAAGAGTCTACGAAACCAAAGATAAAGTGAGTAATAAAACAAAGCTTTAATTTTTCTTCATGGTTTAACCAGTGAGAGGGGATAGCCAACCCACAAAGAGAAATAAAAGAAGAAATGGATCGGTCTGATATGATCAGCCTGATATTCTTCTTGATAAATATAACTGCGCCCATGGTTCCTTTTTCATAGTGTTTAGCTGTCCACATGAACTACAAAAATCCACAAGAAGGGGCCCGATTAATGTACGAGGCAATAGAGAAGTATCTGCAAGAAGTAATGTTAGCTCGCCCTGTTCAGAAGTTGTCAGCTTTGGAGGAGGAGCGTGCCCACCATGATGCGTTTAGAGTCAGTAGGCTTGCCATGGGTGGCGTTTTTGTGGGCGGGGATGACTACTTAAGTCGACTTGACAACCACGTCAAGTCTCAAAGCACAGAGGAAAGTCCTAAACATCTGGTTGTAACTGGGGATGCTGGTAAGATAATGTAATGAATTTTTGCTTTTTTCGATTTACGTAACATTTTTCATTGTCTTTGTAATGCTTGACACATCCGTACCCAAGGGTCTCTAAGTTCCATCCGTGAAATGGCACAAAAGTTGAACAATCCACATATTACCTTTCAGGGTCTGGAAAATCATGTTTGCTAGGAACCTGGTCCTTGCATCACCAAGAGAAATTTCCCAACGACGCTGTGGTGTATCACTTTGCGGGTAGTTCTAGTGATAGTACTGGTAAGCAATTCAGTTTTTTTTGTCGCCATTAACAAATTATTAAAGCCTGTTCATCTGCTAAACCAACAACAACTTCAGCAATAACAACAACAAAAAAACATTCTGCATGAACTTCCTGATAATTCCAGACGAACATTTCATATAACTGTAATTAACAATTATTCCACGAGCCCACGCTGGATATGACATGGTAGATAGTCAAAGATGCTATAACCATCTCATATCCAGCAAGCGTGAGTGGAATAATTGTTTTATTAAAAACGCCCCAATGATATAGAAAACTAGAATAAAATAAAATAAGAACGCCCGAGAAATTACGCATACGCTAACCATATTCGTAGAGCATGGTATAATTCTTCATATATCATGATGGCTAAGCCAATGAAAACTCGTAATTTGCATCATCCAATCGTCTAGTTTTTAACATGATAGTTGTATTAGGATAAACGAACTGTTATTTTCATTAAATTCATTCTCGCATTCAACGCTTATGTCATTATTTTTTGATGTCTATTTAACCAACGAATCGAAAATTGATCAACAATTGATCTCTTCTTAGTGCCGAGGAAGATATTAAAGCGTCTTCTGGAGGAACTAAACGGTTGGTTCAAACAGAAGACACAGACTAACCAACAGGAACTCGGGGGGCAACCACAGTCAACAGAACCGGGTAATATTAATGAAGACGTTCTTGGTCTCATTCGAAACCTGTCAGAAATGGTGCAGAGGATCACCCGAGCCGGCTTTCGCAGTGTAATTATTATTGATGCTCTGAACAAAGTGGACGACACTGGAAAAACAGCGAAGGTAATATATATATTTATAAAAAAAAAATGTTTGTGCGGTCTCCCATTCAAGGAATACAGAAACTACCAATACCGATGATATGGTGATTTGCAAGCATGAAAAATATCTCAATTCCTATCGATTTTCTACAACCTAACAAGACAGAATGGCCGATAAGCACAATGATAATCCTAGTTAATACTAGAGTTATAATATCGTTTTGTTTTCTTCATCGTAGACCTTATATTGGTTGCCAAAGGTACTGCCTCCAAAAGCCCACCTTCTAGTGTCTGTAATTTCTACAGACGGTCCAAAGGTGACTGAATTGACTGAAGACAGAGGCTACTCTGTTATTAACATGATGCCATTGAAGGAGAAGGAAAGAGAAGATATTGCATTGGTAAGATAACCAGTGCGTAATTGAAACCTCCTTCTTGTGTTCCTGTTGTTCACAGTCAAGTTAAACACGATCTCAATGCAACGAGCTTATTTAAGTACAGTGCAGACTACTTTAAGCCCTTTTGTTCCCATTAATGATCAATCGTTGAAGAAGGAAAGAGAAGATTTTGCGTCGGTAAGATAACCAATGCGTAATCGAAACCTCTTTCTTGTGTTCCTGCTGTTCATTATCAAGTTAAACACGACCTCAATGCAACGAGCTTATTCAAGTACAGACTACTTTAAGCCCTATTCCCATTAATGATCAATCGTTAAATTCCTTTCAATTAAAGACATTGTCAAAAAAAAAAATAAAAAGAAGAACGGTCATTAACGAGAGAATCTGGATTTAGTATATCACCGCCTGGCCTCTCGTTACTTACATTAAAATAAGCTGATAGAAATAAGTATAGAGACTGTAGAAAGGTTAAGTAGATAAACCTGAAATGGAAGAAAAAAATTATGTATTCCCTATCTCGGTTCTTGTTTCAAACAGGCAACGCTGAAAGTCCGTGGAAAAGCCTTATCAACAGAGCAAAAAGCGAAAGTTGTGGGCAAGACGCAAACGGGAAATCCTCTCTATCTTAAAATATTACTGGAGGTAAGTGCTTTGTTCGCAACGTCATCTATATTTTTGGTTGTTAGAACGTAGTCAGTAATTTGGTCATTTGACTGTTGATACCTACGATGTACGGAAACGAATGAATATGTGCTTGTGACGTATGGAGAGGATTGAATACAAATGATAGAAACGATTGATTGCATATGCTTGTATGATTGAATCAATGAACGAACGAACGAATTATTAAAAGGGTGGATGACGAACCATTGCCAATACCACGATTCTCCTCAGGAACATAATTATGTCATTTCTCCCCAACAAAACTGGTACATTTAAACCGGTTAATTAAAAGAGACTTACGTATACAAGTACACATATTAGTTATTTCTCACTGATGTATTTGGTATAATTTTCCTTTTATTCAGGAATTATGCAGCTTTGGAGAGTTCTTTCAACTTGATGCCTATCTTGATGGTCTTCTTGAGACGAACGAGTAAACGATGTCATTGTCTATGCCATCCATGTTATATTTTTTGCACTTGCTGTTACATTTTTTCATACTCTTTCCTAATACACTTTACGCTTTTTCTCTATGTCTGTTTTCTTTTGTTGTAGCACTAAAGAGCTTTTTCTTAAATTTCTTCAACGTTTGGAAGCGGATTATATCCCTAGAGAATTTGAAGGAAATTTGATTAAAGATGTGAGTACAACTGAGTTTCCCGTCCGTTAAATACGAATGACTAAGAACTCTGCCTGAATGTATAAACATAAACAGTAAATTCGATCTAAAAAGTTGATTGTTATTATTATTTTCAGGTCATGTGTTGCATTTTGGTGGCTCGACAAGGAATGTCTGAGAAAGAACTGAAGTCGATTCTTCATATAACCGACCAAATGTGGTCTGTTCTGTACTTCGCAGTAGAAGAGTTCATTTTGGAGCGGACTGGGCTTTACGGGTAAAGATTAGTTTATAAGGAGTGTTTTGGCCTTATTAGTTGTACTGACAATTTCCAAGTTTTTTTCCTCTTTGTTAACTGTGAAAGCACTCAATTGAAAATGAATTTAAACCAGGACTCGGTCTCAAACAAGAATGACAGGAACTCGAAATTGGCCTATTTCATGTGAACATGGAGAAGCCTACATAGAAAAAAAAAATGAGTTCATCACATTGACATCTTGCTTTCAGGTTTTCACATGACGAATTATCTGCCGCGGTAAAAGAGCAATACTGCCAGGACGAGGCAACTATCAGGCATTATATCATGTTAGAGGTGGAATATTTTGAAGCGCGATTGAAGGTTAGAATTAGCATGTCAAACGAGATCAAAACAAAACTTTTTTAACTAACTAAATCAGTAGACAAAGTGTTTTTCAAATAACGTGTAGATTAACTAGTGGAGTTAGCCGACGAGTAATTAGCAAACTTTTGAAATAATATCGACTATTATTGTTATTAAAAGTTTCTTTGAAATGGTAGCTGTTAAAATAACAGATCAGACATTGTTTCTTTGCAACTACTTCTGAGTTTTTGGCGATGAACATTGTGGGTTGTATTTTGCGCTGCTTTTGCTCAATTCATGACTGACTGTCAACCCAAATAAGAACCCTGTCATAGCCTTGTCATCTTTTGCCTGTTATTTTCGTCTTTCATAAAAGGAGAGAGATTTGGTTTACGACACTAACATTCCAAAGCGCGTCTGCATGGAACTACCGTGGCTTCTGGCAAAATCTGGAGACATAGATCGACTTGTTAAGTGTCTCACGACTGCTTCAATCTTCTGGTCACTCTACAGGTTTGCATAATCTTTTACATATAAGTTTGTTGTGCAAGGTACATTGCATCCTTAATTATGTTCATCCCATCCCACAAAGATCACTTTAGGATCAGTAACGTTAAAGAAGTATGCACAATATTACGGAAATATATTTTCACGAACATTATTTAAGACGTTTCCGCTGAGTTGACAATATATATTACAAATAAGGACACAGTGCAGATATTTCATATTTCTGATCAAATGAAAACGCGCTTCACAGTTTTTGTTTTATTTAATAAGTCTTACATTTGTTGTTCTTCAATTTCAGTGATGAGAACAAGTATGACTTAGTAAACTACTGGAACGCAACTGGGTTAACAGGGGAAGAAATAACTGCTTTGTATCAAAAGACAGTTGATGATCAGCTGACAATACTCTATATCAGAGAACGAGAGAAAGGAGGAGAAACTATCAATGCTGTCAAAAAGGTAAACTGGACAATTTGTGAGTCATACATTTCCTGTTCTGTTCCATCCGTTGTTTAAATAACCGTCCTTTTTCCTTTTGTGGTGAAATGTTTCTAATATAACTTTGTACTTGAATGATCGAGAAGAATAGGCAGCTGGGTTAGTTTCAGCGAGAGAAGCTCAAGGCTGGACAATGCTTTTTCCTAGTGTTACGATTATCAGTTTTATTTATAGTTTCAAGAGCTGTAACTTTGATTTCTTATATCTCTGGATGAGATTGGACAAATGGGCGAACAAATGATTGTATTGCCTCGTATCAGAGACAGCAAGAAAGCAGAGTCAGCCTATGTCTAGTTCATATTATAATTAAGAGAGCTCTAATCTCTATCATGATGTTGGAATTCATTCGTTGCAGTTGGAATGGTTATGCGGTGGGGATTTCTTATCTTGGGTTCCCGGTGGCAGGAAATTGAATGCTCGAGAAGAATGGCAAGCTGGGTTAACTTCAGCGTGAAAAGGCTGAACAACGTTTTTTCCCGGTCTTACGATTATCAGTTTTATTTATAGTATCAATTTTGTAATTGATGATCAAGCTCTTAAAAAAGCTTAATTTGAGAAATGGCGGTTTTCTCATGATTCTTTCTACTCGTGTATTACCACAAGCACGATGATACTAAGTCTCCTATTTGGAGGCTTTGACTTTATTTACCTCTATAGAATGTAATGTATATGACAAAATCTCAAGTGAAAATGACGATGTCTATGCTAACTCTAAATTTGCAGCTAGCCCGCTTAGTCTTCCAGATGTCCCAGTTCCAAAGTGTTGCAGGACATATGACAGCAGTTGAACCACTACTCAAGAGAGCTTTAGACTTAGAGGTAGGTGATTCATTTCTTTTTGGTATATAATTAAGAAAAGGGCCACTGTGAGGCCATGCCGTGAATTGTAAATTTTTTGTTCATTTTCCTGGTCAACAAGCAGAACAGGTGCCTTCTTCATCTGGAAAATCTTTGTCTGTTATGAAAACGGCACAGTTGATTTTATTAAGGCTATGCTCATTGAGTGCCAATAAATTGAAAGTTTCATAAAAAAAAACACCATTGAAAGCTTACTTTAACTCCGAGGTTTCCCTTTAATGTTTTATCATATGGTTGTTATGTTTTATGATTGTTGTAATTTTAATGATATCAACTGAGCTAGATATATAAGTTTGATATTCATAGCTCTGATATTATCTTATGTAATAGTAACGAAAGTAAAGCTATTTCTACGTGTGTTTTTGAGGAGGTTTTCATGAACTCAAGTGCGAATGGTGGATATTGAAGTGTGTCCTTCAATGTATTTTTGGTAGAAGTCAGTATATTCAGAAGAACAAATCCGCAGTGATTCGGATGTAGCTGAGCACTACACGGAGGTGGCCAATGCGCTTGCGTGCCTTTATGTGGATACTGAACGCTTCGATGATGCCGAACCACTGCATAGGGAGGTTCTTGAGCTGGATGAAAAGTAAGACAGAACTTTAAAGTAACTATACTTGATGACTGGTGTTTTATCATGGACTATTTCTTCTTCAAACTATTTGACATGATGAAATTGTTTGTACCATTAAGGGTCACAAAACCTGTTGGACCCTTATGTTTTATTGCACAGATTAACAGGAAACTTGTTATTTGTTATGAATAAAATACTATATTTCTCTGACGGCTGAATCAGGTTCGCAGATCAGAGAGAGCGAGGTTGGTCCAAAGTAGCGACTACATTAAACGGTCTTGGTGTGTTATATTACAAGACAAACAAATTTGACGAGGTAAAGCTAGTCATTCTTCGTTAATTGTTCAGGCTGCAAATTTTATGTTTGATAGTAATAATGATAATAAATTTGCGCGCAAATGGTTCTCAAATGTGAGACCCACTGCAACTATATTAAAAGGAACTGAGCCGTAAAGTTTTTTCAAGTTTCTTGTTTTAACACTTCTGTGTTACTTTTACCACAACATGCATGTTAAGCCCACTATCAACTCATTCACTAATTCCACCAACTTAATTCTAATTCTAAACTAATTCCACGTGACTTACTTTTTGTGTGCTATTAACAAGCAGCAATTTTAAGATTTAACTTCAGCTTCAGTAAACGCCCGCATATAAGGACAACCAGGCTGAAAGTTTGCCAATAAAGCATCATATATATAGGAACCAACTCAGCCTGATAAATAAAACATGCTCTTATATAAAAAGAAAGTAAATGCCAGAATAAGAAAGCAATTGTATTAAAGTACTTAATTGTTAATGTTTACTTATATTATAGTAATAGTATTTATTGATTTTTTTTTATTTGGAATGCATTTTTTTAGTGTAAGTATAAAAAAATGGAAGTTAATTAAACCTCTAGTAATTTATAATGTATAGTATATCTGAACAAATTTTAAGGACATTTTAAGAACATATTCAGGCTGATTTCTCACTGACCACCCGGTAAATAAGACCCTGATCAGCCTGTACCCCTTATATGCGAGTGTTTACTGTACTTTCTTGGGACTATTTTACACAAACCCGAATCTGGGGACACATGAGCCGTCTCAAGGTATGCTGGGGGTACCAGCGCTCTAGTTTAATTTGATGCCTTTGTTTTAGGCTTTGGAATATTACAACCGATGTCTTGAGCTTCATCGTCGAACCTTGCCACCCACTCACCATTTAATTCCAGACACACTTAACAACATTGGTGCTTTGTATAAGTCCATGCTACGCTGGGAGGATTGTGCTAGAGTTCTCGAGGAAGCTCTACAGGTGATAACTATAGAAAAAAGCCGTTACGAAAATTGCAAATGCAAGTTATGAAGTAAAATTGGGCACAACATCAACTTCACATCCATAAGCTTATGGAGACAGCATTGATCATGATCAATGATCATGGTGGTCATATACACAACGTAAGCAGCTGTGGAATTAAAACCTGAAAAAAAACATTCAGGCTTGAACGGGATTTGAGGCCATGACCTCTGCGATACCGGTGCAGTGCTGCACGAACTATCAAGCCAACTGGGAGCTGGTCGCGTTATGAGCTCTTAATATACCCATAGACGGTATTTTACGAACGGGTATATAACGAACTCGCAACGTGACCAGCTCCCACTTGGCTTGATAGCACAGTTGGTAGAGCACTGCACCGGTATCGCAGAGCCTGATTTTTTTCAGGCTTTAATTTCACAGCTGCTTAAGTTGTATATAACTGCGATGATCATTGATGCCTTCATATCTTTCTCCGCAGTTCAAATATATGATCTTTCTTATATTCACTGTTATAATCCATCATATATTTTCGCTCGCGCGCGATTGGTCTAAACACGTCACGTGACCGAATATTCCCCAGCTAAAACTGAGGAATATTCGAAAATATTCCCCAATTTTCAAAACTGTGCGCGTTGCGAAAAACATTTGAAGAATGATAAACACAATAGCCTCCACTTGGGGCGAAAATATGCTCTGCTATTCATCCGTGGACATTATCTGTTCCTCGAAGCTCATAGTTTTCCTCGAGCTACGCTCTCGGAAAACTGTTCGCTTCTCGGAACAGATAATGTCCTCGGACAAATATCCTAGCATATTTTCGCGCCAAGTGGAGGCTATGTTAATATATCCGTAGGCTTGTAACAAGCCATATAACAACTGGGTCAAGCAAATCGTACGTACCGCCTTATTAAGCAAAAGTAAAACGCTGAGGTTATTTTACATGTGGCGTTTTAAGTATAAGGAGTCTTCTTGTGTCCCGGTTTTTTTGTCCAGAGTTACGCTTTCTCAATTTTAAGATAAAATATGTCCATCTATGCAACTGCTCATACTAAGTTACCCTCAAGGCCTACGAAGAAGCATACTTTGGCCAACTTCCGCCGGATGTGGGTGGCACACTGCTGAACCTTGGAATGGCTTATTACAGGACCCACGACGCCAGCAAAGCAGAGCCATTATACCTCAGGTAAAGAAGAAACTTATCAGCATTTTAAACGTTGAGATTTTATGAATTAGTCAGTGAGAGAATAACTTTGTTTCCAATAATTAAAAAAAAAAAACAAAACAAAACAAAAAAACAGGAATTCAGTCATGGAGCCAATTCACGTTATTAAAGTAATTGCAACTTGTAAGAAGAAAATTCGCCTGATTTGTCTAAGTGGGGCAGATTGACAGTCTTGAAAAAATCTTCATGTGGGAAAAAATACTTTCCGGGACATTCCCTCTGTTGACTGAATACACGTTCGTTGAACCTGTCTGCCGAACTTACGCAGGGCTAGTTTGTCAGGATGGGCTTATTACAATTTGAAGTAACTATAATAATTTCTTGCAGAGCCCTGGACATTCGTACCAAAGCATATGGCCCGGACCATCATGATGTTGGTCAGACATTGCTAAGCTATTCTGCATTCTTGCTCCCTGTGGACGCAAAAAAATCAGCGGACGCCGCAAAACGAGCAGTTGAAATTATGGAGGTACAAATAGCTATTAGATGTGTGTTCAAGTAGCATGCACACCTGTTCTGAGGGTCGGGAGGTGGGTTTAGAGTCATAATATTCTAGTTGCCAATAATGTCACCAGTTGCGGTAATCCAAATCATTTAAAGCCTGATCTCTGGGTAGCAGATCGTTTTATCAAAAACAAATTCAGTCACGCCAGTTTTCAGCAGGCTAAAATGGTGCTTCTTAGTGTGATTATAGGCTTGCCTTGCACAACTGAAACAACAGGTTTTTTTCTCTGGCGACTGTATTTTCGGTTGAACGGACATTTGAACTGCACTGGGCGGGGAACACTATGAAAAACGAGGGAAATCGTCAACCCTCCTTATGGACGCTTCTATAATAGGGACACCTCTACATCAAGAGCAGTTCTCTCGCTCAAACACCTTTATAATACGTACATCAGGCTCAAAAATATGAACACCTTCCTTTGGTACATGTATTTAAGCGGTTTGACTATATTTGTTTGTAGAAATCGTTAGGACCAGAGCACATAAACACACTGAACGCTCAGGAGAATGCAGCGATAGCCCTCGCCAAGGAGGGAAAGTTTGATGAGGCTCATCCATTCTTCAAGAAATCAGGTTTGATATTTGCTATGTAGCGTTTCTTTGACCTCTATGCTGTATGGTTTTAGTACTTCATTCACTGGGCCTACTACACGTTAAATAAATCGAATTTCATTTGTTGTAGTTACAGTAATACACCGGTAAGGCGGTTGTTGTTGGGTTAAAAATTCATTTGTGGATTCCCAACATCAAGAGCAAATGCAGATTCCTAACCCTATACCAGGCGAACTAATCCTTATTACACCAGTTAAACCGAGCTTCTAGCTCTCAAGTTCCATATTTTTACCACGCAAAGTGAAATAACACATGAAAGAAACGTATAAGGCGAAGAAGAATATCGAAGGCTTAAAATCTACAACGTACTAATTCCTTAAACGGGTCAGACCATGTAATGGGCAAAACTTCAATGAGATTCGGTGTTCACTTGAAACCCAGCTGACGCAGCTACTCGAAAAGACACTAGTGTGTTCATCATCATCACCTCCCAAAAATATGGCCTGCTCATCAAATGCCTTTCTCTTGTTTATGTTAGGAGTGATTCGACATGAGAAAGGTCAAATGAATTCATCGATTCCAATTTTGAATTCTGTCATGGCTGATTACTACCTCAATAACGGTCACAGTGAGGAGGCGAGGCAGTTGTTTGAGAGACTGGTGAGTGGAACCTGGCATTTGGCAACAGAATAGATATTTACATAATAACTGGCATGCAATCTTTCTTATATTTACAAGTTGATTATTGTTATAATGTTGATTATGTTTCCGTATTCATTTTCGTTAAGTGTCTATGTTTCCGCACGGTAGGGAATCCCGACCATTTAGCATTTTTTATTCGGTTTTACACCAAGAAGGGGAAAAAAGAGGCAAAAAACAACTGGAAAAACAGCTTTACAAAAACTTACAAACTACTTACAAATAAGCAAAAGAAAGTAAATAACATAATCAAAGAAAACTCGCATTCATTCTCAAACACGCACACACATCGAGGCGACTACTTAACAATTAGACCCGTAGCCCGCAAGGGCTACGGGTCAATAGCCCATTAGGCTTCGCCTCATGGGCTATTGACCCGTGGCCCTTGAGGGCGAAGGGTCTAATTGTTTTAGTGTCACCCAACTAGTCGGACAGAAAAGGTAATAATAAAGTTAGCAAATGCAGGATGAAGAAATATTTATTTGGGAATAAAACGAAAGAAAGCGTCAGGCTCGATGGCGCCAATTTCGCTACTCGATGACTATTACTAATAGTTCCCTGGTAGCGTAGCCAATCAAAATGCAGGATTTGCATTAGTCCACTAGTTGGGTGATACTAAAGCACGATAATACGATCTTAAGTGATTATGATTACAAAGGACAAAATAATGCAGGTACAGTGTGACTAACTAGAAAAAAGCATGAATAAGCTTTTCCTATTTCTTGAAGAGGGGGAGTAGCTTGTCTCTTTTGCGAGCGACGTGTTGCTCAATTTTTATATGCGTTCAACCCGTTTTTCTTTAACCGGTCTTACTTCGCAGAATTCGATAAATTGCATCCCAAAAGGAATGGACTGTTCAACAGCGTATCTGGAATTCGGAAGTGCTTAAAAAAACTTAATTATAACTTGAAGGAAAGTCTCCGAATATGTTCTGAAAGTTAAAACACTTAGTTATACATTAGATTGAGCCTTTTGCTTGCTCTGCCGATTTCTAGGTAGGAACAGATTTCGCGACGGACAGAGATTTTGCTGCTCTGGACTTTTTGGATGATGAACTACTGGGAGAAAATAGACCTGAGAGGCCGTATGAGGAAACGGTGGATTATGGTCTGGAAAAGTAAGTTACGTATATTTGAACATTTCGCATCATCTTGAACCACGAATCAAACAAAAACGGGTGCTGCGGTAAAATTTGATAAAAAATAAATATCAAAATACAATCTTTCAGTCTACCTGCGGTTGAGGAAAGGTTCTATGATTAATTCAATTAATTCAAATGTATTTTTTCTTGTAGATTTCCATCTAGCTCAATGATTTTCGGGAGAAAGCTCCCCAAGCTCGCCGAAAGCGGAGACTCCCAAAGGACGCTGAAAATTTTAGAAAAAGGTGGTTTTGGTCCAGAGAAGTACAATGAATCATATCAGAGTTTTGTTGCGAAAAATCAGAGACAAGAAGGTCTTGATATAATAAAGACTGCACATGAGAAATTTCCGAATGACCCAGTAAGTTGCAATCATCGTTTTCAAAGGTGAAATATCAGCAAGAATGTTATAATTTTTCGAAATAAGTCTGACATTTTACAGTACAAACCTCTATTAAAACATAAGTGTATACAGCCTGTTAAGCCAATTTATCGCTAAACTCCACAAAATGTGGGCCGAGGGACCATTAGTGTCTTGATCACTTTTCACGAATAAAAAAGATGGGATCAAACATACCAGCTTAAAAAACAGCCAAAATTACCGAGCTTGTTTTAAAATCATTTCTGTCTGCTTAAAGGTCATTCTTCACAACTTGGCATCATGCCTTGCATTCTACAAGGACTATGTCAAGGCCTGTACATACTTCAAGAAGCTGCTGGATTTAGAACCAGAGAACACGGAAGTTATGGGTAGCTATGGACGTGTATTAGCGATGGCAGGAGAAGTCGAGGACTCTAAGAAAATACTGGAAAATGCGTTGCATCTTGCAGAGGAAAGACACGAAGAACAACTTATAGAGCAGGTGTGCATAAAGAAAATACAGCGTGTTAAACGTTATCTATGTGCTCACGTATTTTACATAATTTATAGCACAACTGATGCATCAAATGCGTCAAATGTAATAACCATGATTTGAGCATCGTTTGTAAAACAAATTGTGGCAAAGTATTGACTTTTAGAACTCAGACGGTTTGAAATAAGGTGCCTTGTCGCGATAACGTCTTTGCAGTCCGTTCTGGAGCCAAAAGGAGCCCATTTTTTCGGTTACGTCGCGTATTGCTTATACAACTCAAGTTACCGGCCCCCCAGTGTTTTAACATCTTGTCTTGACGGTTTTTCGGTACGTTGGACCTGGGTAGAGAGAGGAAGAGAAATATGCTTTGGGACCACTGTCATGGCAAGACCACAACACACAATGAACTGCTAACGCTCGAATCCAGGCCAATCGATCCTGATTCTGAGGACACCGCGGCCTATCGCAAAGCACTATTTTAGTGTTCTATTTACTGGCGCTATCTTCTGCACCTAAGTTACTAATGACTAATTAACGGCGTTGAGATTTTTAGTTTGGGGTGAATTACTGAAGTAACAAATATAATTACAATAAAATAATAAGAGAGAAATGTCGATTGTATTTCTTTTCTTTTTCAGTTTAAGTCGTACCTGAATCTGTTAAACGAAACGTAGGCGTCGTAATCAAGGTCTACCAGAACACTTGGTATTCGATGGTATGGAGTCTCCTGACTATCCAACTGTTCGCAAATATTGTTATGTTGGAAAAAGATGATTACTTATTGTATGTAACACTAGTCAAGAGTAGGACTAAGAAATATAATGTAACATAAACTCCGAAAACTTTTTTGCAAACTTTCCAGTAGGAGCAAGTGCTACTGACTGCAGAAAATAATGAACGTGACATTTCGCTTCTCATTACAGGACCTTTATCGAACATACAGAAAGTAATGATAGGTCAACTTAAATAAAGGGCCACAAGCCAAGGCCTCCGCCTCTTTGTATCGCGTCCAATCTAATGAAAGATCATTTCCTGAGAAATACATGTATGGTCATGTAGTTCAGGTGCTGATCACCGCTGGAGCCAATATAGTGCTCTACAATGAAGGAGCTATTGTAACAATATGTATGTTAATTACAATGCCACAAGAAAAAATTAGTCACAATAAGTAGATTTTCCCCTGCGCACTTTGACCATTAAATTTCACAGTTTTAAAATTAATGATTCAATTAGTTTGTCACTTCTGGTAGAAGGCTGCTGGGTCAGCAAGCATTTACAGGAAAATACGTTTTCAATCATCAACTTGAGCCAATGCTCGGCGGATAGAAGGAAATGGTCAAATGTATATATACGAGTATTATAAACACAAAACGTTTCTATGTAAATAAAACTGTTGTAAAAAACCATTTGGTTAAATAAATTTTAACTGGCTTTTTTACTCATCATCTGTCGGGAGTAGACACTGAAAAGGACAACGACGTCCTAAATAGTAAAACAAAGAGCTGAGGCATCAGTGTGAAGGAAAATGTTGCAGAAGTCTGGAGTCAAGGATCGAGATTCATCTCACATCTTCATCACATGATGTGCTAGGCTTCTTCTGACACCAAGGGACCAGAGAAACTGGGTAAGGCAGACACTCCCGTGGAGACCCGTACGTAAACCTGAACGGAGAAACATCGTTAGCAAATTACTGTTGGCAAAAGGTTCTACTCATGAGACTGACTCATATACCCTTCTATTCCGTGAGAAGTCAGCAGGTGTAACTTAATTATTTCTTATACGAAGGAAATGTTTTATTTTGTCAACTGGATTTAAAATCAGACATGAGATAAAGATCAACTTATGAACTGTTATTGCTGTAACAGTTAGCAGACACTTAAGCAACGCTGCCTCACATTGAAGGGCTATAGACTCAATGAGTATATTATAAGGCTTCGCACTCAGATGTCGGCAAAGAGAAAAAAAATTCTCTTTACGTTAAATTTCAATAACACCTATATCCAAGGGGGCTTGCATCACTTTGCAGGACTGGGAATGAACGCACACAATAAGAAACGGAGCCTGGTGCCCTTTTAATCCTCCATCTTGCACTGATCTTCATATCCAGACGAAAATTGACTGGGAAACTGTACTTCGCTCACCTGTGATGTTTGAAACGGCGCTGGCGAATGCATACCCAGTGAATGACGTAAAACGTTTGCATGTATGAGCGTATGCACGTATGAGCTCAATGACGTATTGGTATAACAATGCAAAGAAGAAGAAAACACCTCTTTTTTTTCTTTTATTTAATTGATAATTTAATAATTTTATCACAAGGAGACACTTGGGAGAATGATTAATGATTTCCCTTGAGGTCAGTTTTTCGTCTGCTGTTCCAAGTTCTCCTTTAGCTAAACTTTCAGGAAGTGTTTCGGTTTTTTTAATTGCAGTAAGCAACATCGGTATTCCCCACAAAGCGTTTCCCACTTTATGTTATAAGTACATGGGACACAACAGGATGAAAATGCTAAGTTCACTAAAACGCAGGGTTTTTTGTCTACGTTCTTCAAACTTCAGAGCTTCGGATAGCCTGCGTAATGGTTCTCAAGTAACCCTTTTTGAACTTTAGAAAATTACTTACAGCACATGAAAACCCTAACCCTAACCCAACCGATATCATATATCTCATAGTTAAGATTTAGCTGGCTCTGTTACTTTAAATTTCCTTCTTAAAACACTTCTTTTCGAAGATGAAAGTTCAAAATTGTTTTAGATTCCTAAGAAAGTGATATTGAATCAATGGTACTCATGCAGTAATAAGATTTAAAAATACTGAAATGTGTTACTATTCAAGCTAGCTTATTCACGGCTTAGCAAACATTTTGTAATTCAATGAGTGGGTTTTTCTTTCTAGCTCTAAAAAACATCCTTCGTATGATTATACATGGAAAATGAATGTTGCATGCTTTAAAGGTAATTATAGTCGTTTTAGGAAAAGCATGAAAAAAACACAGTATGACAAAATATTCAAATCAAGTCTTTGTGTAATTAGTTTGTTTCCTTTGGAGATCGTAAGCAGTCGACTAGGTGGCACTGTCAACCCTTCAGTACAAGAAAGAGAACTGGCTTAATCACAAAACAAAAGCCCAAAACTTACCTCAAATGCTTTACGAGATGCTTAACATACATTCATAAAATCAAGCTTTTAAAATTCTAAATGACAGATTTAGCAACTACGAATCTTCTTCAGCTTTCACCGAAGTACTGATATGTGAAATTAGAAGTGATCGTAAACTTATCTATGTTGGAGTTTGACTCACAAGCAAGCTAAACATCTGACATACAGACAGTAGTTCTATGATAAGAAGTTTGTGTGTACAATGACCTTGAGGACTTGGAATCTTTACCCCAGATTCGACAGCACGGCACAAGGCGGGCGAATCCTCTACGAAACTGGTCACTTAGAAAACCGTACAATACGGGATTCACTGCACTGTTAGAGTACACCAACACGTGGCAATAGGACATCAAAATCCAGATTCCCCTTGGAATAAGAAAAATATCTTATTACTGCTTTAAAGATAAAAAAGAACAATTGACATGACTTGAAAACATTGACTTATAACTTTTACAGCTTTGTTTCTGAGAGTGACTGCTCGGCTAAGTGTTTAAAAGCGTTGTAGTCAGTGACTGATTATTGCGAATTTCTCGCACTTAATGTTTTTACTTTTGTCGACAGACCTACACTGCCTGGTTTACAATTGAATTTCCCCACCCATAACCATCTCGACAAAAAGGAGAGAGAGAGTGAAAGAAGTGAGCGAATTTTCAAACGTCATCCGTGATTGTATGATAACAATGGGATAAAAAAGGAAACGTTTATAACACTATGACAGCAACCAAACGTGATCCAGCAAATTACGCACTAGAATAAAGGATAAGTATAAAAAAAGAATACTTAAACTCGTGATCGATATACTTACTTATATTCCCTCCCATCTCCAAATTCATACCACAGGTATGTGATATGGTATGGCAAAAAACACAGGAAGTAGAAGACCACCACGACTATCAACATTCGTACCACCTTCCCTTTGGCTTTTGCTGTCCTAAATCCCTCACTGTCGGAAGTTTCCCTTGCTGCTTTGTTAAGCTTCATTACAATAACCGTATATAACACGGCTATCGTAGGCAACGGTATAGCGTACGTTAGGCAAAATGATAACACAGTATATACGTCTCGAAATGTCTCACTAGGCCAGCCACCCTCTGAACATAAGGGACCACCTTTGGTCTCCTGTAAATGCATGACGGCGAGAATAGGAAGGCCAACTAGAAATGCAATCAGCCACACCACAGCGATAATAAAACGGACCTGATAAATTGATATGCGGGGCTCATAGGGATAAGCTATCGCTCGGAAACGATCTGAAAGGAAGAAAAAGTACAATCTTTATTTGATGTTATTCTAAACTATTATGCGTCATTTAATTCTGGACTCGACTGAACAATCATTATCAAATGGAATACTCTTGTATCTAACTCCAGGATACCCCTTGTATCCTTTCCTACCTCGAGAAAAACTCCGTCACGTTGTTTGAGTGTAAATGAGGGAAATCCTANGCGAATATAGTTTGTTGATATACTATCATCCATTCCTAACCGAGAGGGTTCAGATGTAATTTCTCGTGACTGACTAAAATAATAAGGAGAAAAACATGGAAAATTTACAATGTTTTCACCTGCAGCCAAGCTGTAAAACGGAATACCTTCTAAATGCTCTCGGATGTTGTTAGGTCATCAAATACAATTATTGAATAAGCTGTTGTCAAAATTTTCAAGCAGTGTCATTCATACAATCAGGTGGAGTCTTCTCAACAACAATGGCTGTATTAAAGCTAGTTTTTACTCCTGAGCCAAGAACAAATCGCAAGTGAAAATTCATGAAAAAGCTACGCTCAGGTAGTTCTACAGACTTGTGGAATTTTTCTATGAAGTCTGTTCAATAAACGTCTTTCCACAGAGTTGAGTATATAAACACTTGACCTCAGTCGGGTTATGACTTCTCTCGTCTGAGATTTCTTAATTTATTGGATAAGCTCGAATAGTCCGAGCTCGCTTTACCAACAACTGATCTATAAGGCTGATGTATGTTTCGTAAGTTGGCAGCAGTCCTAAGCGAAGCACAACGATAAAAATAAACAGCAAAGAACGCATTATATTTTAATAGTTTACAAATGAATATTTCCTGATCTTAGTTTGATAATCTGCAATCAATTCCTTCCTTATTACGTTCTATTAGTGGCTTTTTTAAAAGGCATTGAAGCGATTATCTCCTAAAGATGCACCACCTTCCCTGTGGTTTTACTCTGCCGTGTAAAACCGCTTACAGCATCACAGGAAAAGACTCTTTTAATGTTATCACGAATCTACCTATACCTCACGCATACAACGCACAAAGCAACCGAAAATAGAAGGTAAGCACTCAAGTTACCAATTGCTGGATTTAAGGACTTTTTGATCATGAAAACAACCTAAACAATAGGCAATAATTTATATTTTGATTGAAATAGTGTTAATGTAGGCAACACATTGTAAGTAAATGTGTTCATCGGTTTCACACATTTTTAAGTGGCTCGATAACGTCTTCGCTATCTATGACGTGGCCGGAATACGCACCAATTTGACATACAGTTAGCATAGATTTATAACTTTGTTTCACTTACCAGAATGTAGTTCTCGTATCTTGTAGACAACAGCGAGGACAGAGACATTGCCAGTGATGGTGACGAGAAATATGATTACATACACAATTAACCGAAAGATATTCGACGCCAGTGGCTCTGAAGTCGCTTGTACATTAGATGTATTGGCAGTGGCAAGTAGGTCTGTTACATTCGTGGGTTCCATCACATCACAAGCTCTTTAAAATAGTAAACCACACACGCCCTGCTCAACCGTGCTACACAGATATCAAAATTGCCCCTTGGTTATGTCAAACCAACGTCGACCTTTTTGGACTTCTGGAAACAATATAACTAAAACTTGGTATAATGTTGGTTTTAAATAACAATTCCCATTCCTGGGTCGGAAATCGCCTCATGGGCTTTAATTTCGTTCTGTCCAGTGCTTAAAAGGTGTCCACTAAGCCGTATCCCGCCGACTCTTGTGTTGACTTTTCATTACAAATCCTTCATAAGCCTAATATTTATTCAGTTGACTTTTCTTTTATCCTGGAATCCGCTGGTGAAGTAATTAGGTCGCCATAATGAGCTTTCCGGTGTGATCGAGAACCAGAAATATCTCTGAAGTAATTAACACCTCACTAAGGCATTCAGTCGACGCGTCGTCTTCCCTGTTTTTGAAGTAAATAACTAGAAGCTGTCAACAAAGGTCTTTTCTCCAAGAAGCAATTTCCTCTCTAATGTAAAAAAAACCGACACTCCCAGTCAACCACACGCGTGACGATGTCTTGTGAATGACGCAGGATAATTCCGGCTATTAAAAGATTGGAAGTACCGAGGAGAAAATGATACAGCCAAAAACCTGTCCGAAGCTTCTTTGGCTGTTAAGTACTTGTTTGCGCATCCAATGTGAACTCCACGTATACAAATGCCCTTTGCTATAAAGTTACACTGTATGTATGACATGCCAAGCATGCCATTTGAATGCCCCAAATATAAATTGCCACAGCTAGAACTTTGTTTTCACCACTTTGTGAAACGAGGACAGTAGTTGAATAAGGCCCATCGGTGATGTACAGCTAACTTTGCTCAAAAATGAGCATTTGACAGAACTACGCCGTACAGAAAGAAAAATTGATTAACCGATGCTAAAGAACCATATTATGGTCTCTTGCCGATGCTGATTCGCTGTCATACGTTTTCACCAAGACTGCTGACGATCATGAGGAAGACGAGTGATGTCGCAGAAGACACTTAGCTGTTGCCTCCTCGGCTCCTCAGCTCCACCGAAAGTGCGAATGGAAACTATTTCGCTCACATTTCGATGATCGCCAGTTCCCACTCAATTATCTTTTTACTCGCTTGGCTGCTTACTTGTGGGCATAGGAAAATAAGGTTGCTTGCAGTCTGGTAAAATATAGTTAAGAAGACTTTCTGGATATACCGAAGTTACAAATATAAGGTCTTCAAGGACCAGAGTACAAATGTAGTCAGTGACACGACCCTTTTATTGGATTGAAATGAAGCTTAATTAATTAGAAAAATAAATAAAGAAATGGGCTCGTTCCCCACCACACGGCTGGTAATCAAGCCTTCCTGCATGTCTTGTGCAAGCAGTACTTTAATTTTTTATGCAATATGATGTTTTTAAAATAAATGGGTAAAATTTTATGTATGATTTTTTTACAGCATATGTTGTCGAATTTTTTAGTTATTCATCGTCCTGCGCATTTTCCATGATTTACATGCCGCTTATCCTGGTGTTACTCAATTAGCAACTAACGCTAAGCTATTTATCTTCATACGTAGACATGCTATGGAGATTTCCGGAATCCAATTTTACGTTGACTAAAGGCTGGTTTCCATATGATCGCAGACGATCGCAGACGATCGCGGATCGCAAATCGCAGATCG